GACACCATCCTGGCTAACACGGTGAAACCCCGTCTCTACTAAAAAATACAAAAAACTAGCTGGGCGAGGTGGCGGGCGCCTGTAGTCCCAGCTGCACGGGAGGCTGAGGCAGGAGAATGGCGTAAACCTGGGAGGCGGAGCTTGCAGTGAGCTGAGATCCGGCCACTGCACTCCAGCCCGGGCGACAGAGCAAGACTCCGTCTCAAGAAAATAAATAAATAAATAAATAAATAAATAAATAAATAAATAAACAAAAACCTAGGAAGAGTTGGTGTCTGTTTTTGGTTCATAGAGAGTGCCTTCTAGCTGTGTCCTCACATGGTGGAAGGGTCAAGGAAACTCTCTGGGGTCTCTTTTGCTTATTATATTATTATTATTTTTTGAGACAGGTCTCACTCTGTTGCCCAGGCTGGAGTGCAATGGTGTGATCTCAGCTCACTGCAACCTCCACCTCCTGCGTTCAAGTGATTCTCCTGCCTCAGCCTTCCGAGTAGCTGGGATTACAGGCGTGCACAACCACTCCTGGTTAATTTTTGTATTTTTCATAGAGACAGGGTTTTGCCATGTTAGCCAGGTTGGTCTTGAACCCCTGACCTCACGTGAGCTGCCTGCCTCGGCCTCCCAAAGTGCTGAAATTACATGCGTGAGCCACTGTGCCCGGCTGCCCAGCTAATTTTGTAACTTTTTGTAGAAACAGAATCTTACTGTGTTGCCCAGGCTGGTCTCAAACTCCTAGGCTCAAGTGATCCTCCCACCTCGGCTTCCTAAGATGCTGGGATTCCAGGTGTGAGCCACCATGCCCGGCCCATATAATACAGGTTTCCCCTCTCTCACTCCCTTTTGAAAGGCAGTTGAAAGCAGACATCAGAATGTGGGAAGAGCTTGTTTCCCCTTCTTGAAACACGTTCTTGCTCATAGACGTAGCCTCTCCTTGAGTCCCCAGAGATGGGCAGGGCAGGTGTTACGACTAATCTCATTATACGGATGAGAAGAAACCTGGGGCCTGGCAGGCAGAGAAACTTCCTGCAGTCCCAGGGCAGGTCAGTGGCAGGGCTGGGACCCAACCCCCCAGGTCTCCTGTACCCAGGGAGAACTCCCTCTTTGCCTTATTTATTTATTTATTTAAGACGGAGTCTCAGTCTGTCGCCCAGGCTGGAGTGCAGTGGCGCGATCTCAGCTCACTGCAGCTTCTGCCTCTGGGGTTCCAGCGATTCTCCTGCCTCAGCCTCCCAGGTAGCTGGGACTACAGGCACACCCACCACCATGCCCAGCTAATTTTTGTATTTTTCAGTAGAGACAGGGTTTCACCATGTTGGCCAGGCTGGTCACTCCTGACCTCAGGTCATCCACCCGCCTCGACCTCCCAAAGTGCTGGGATTATAGGCCCCTCACCTTTTTTTTTTTTTTGAGACTGAATCTCACTCTGTCACCCAGACTGCAGTGCAGTGGTGCCATCATAGCTCACTGCAATCTCTGTCTCCTGGGCTCAAATTATGCTCCTGCCTCAGCCTCCTGAATAGCAGAGACTACATGTGTGCACCACCATGCCTGGCTCATTTTAAAATTTTTTGTAGGGACGAGGTCTCACTATGTTGCCCAGGCTGGTCTTGAACTCCTGGGCTCAAGTGATCTTCCTGTCTCAGCTTCCCAAAGTGCTGGGATTACAGGTGTGAGCCACTGCACCTGCCCTTGAATGGATCTTAAAAACCCACCTAGGCTGGGCGTGGTGGTGTGTGTCTGTAGTTCCAGTGCTTTGAGAGGCTGAAGCCGGAGGATCACATGAGGCCAGGAGTCTAAGGCTGCGGTAAACCATGATCACACCACTGCACTCCATCCTGGGCAACAGAATGAGACCCTGTCTCTAAACTAATAATAACAATAATTTTTAAAAATGTTAAAATCGACATAGAATTTATTTTTGGTGTGATGTGTGATTCAAATTATTTTTTTCTGAAGTTAGCCTGTTATTCAAACACTAAAATATTGAAAATGCATCCTAGG